GGCAGCCCTGGCGGAGTCCAACCCTCACTGGGAACAGGTCCGACTTACTACCGGCTATGCGGACCAAACTCACGCTCCTCTGGTAAAGGGACTGAATGGCCCTTAACAGAAAGCCACCCACCCCATACTCCTGGAGCGTCCCCCACAGGGTGCCCCTGGGGACATGGTCATACGCCTTCTCCAAATCCACAAAAAAGTGTTAATAATTCTCAGATGCACTGATGGAGACCTTTTCTTGCGTGTTACCTCTGCGATGTGCTCTGTGCGTAACGTGCAACATATCTGTTATTAACAAACTAACGCACAGCCAAACAAGCCAATCACCTCTTGTAAGAACAACCGTAACGGCTCAGCCCGTCGCAGATGGTTGACTATTTTGTCACGTCGCCCTTCCCTGTTGCACACCTTTCTGCACTTGCCCAAGGTACCCAGGTCATGCCCCCTCCCCCAAACGTTGGCAGCCCTGCATTTATTCATACCGTAACAAATCTCACCCAAACCTTATTTACAGCCAAAAGCTACTCCTTTTGTTCACACACACACACACACACACACACACACACAAGAGAGAGAGAGAGAGAGAGAGAGAGAGAGAGAGAGAGAGAGTGCCTAGGTCCTTTCTGATAGGCTGACGCACACGCTGTGAGGACCAGCTGTATAAGGGGATGTCTAACGCTATTGGTTGATGCTCCTGACACTTCAGATTGCATGGGGCATGGGGGACGGGGGACGAGCATGTCCAAAACAAAGATTGCTTTGCCTGCATGACAACACAGTACATGATTAGACAGATGTGTAAAAAGCCACATGAGTCCTTAAAGGGGGAAAACTCCAGATTGTAACGTTTGTTAGGAACGTGCCACGTTTATCTGGGACAGCGTTCTCCTTAAGTGTGACGCTAAGATGTGTGGAATGGTAAATGGCCTGTATCTGATATAGCACCCTCTAGAGTCTTACAGCCCCCCAAGGTGCTTTACAACACAATCAGTCATTCACCCATTCACACATTCACACCCTGCCACAGTTGCCCTGGGGCAGAGAGAGTGGAGGCCCGTCGGCAGTCCCGCCAACCACCACCAGAAATGCCCCGAGGGTTAAGTGTCTTGCCCAAGGACACAACAGCAGCATTCTCAGCTGGTAGGTAGGATTGATCCGGCAACCCTCTGCTTACTGGACAGCTTCTCTAGCTCCTGAGAGACTGCTGCCCTGTGTGTGTTAGTTGGTTATTGCATCTATGGTCGAGTCTACATGTATTTATGGACACTGAACAAAATTATAAACACGTTTGTTTTTGCTCCCATTTAACATGAGCTGAACTCAAACACACACATTTTCAGACGTTTGAGTTCAGCTCATGAAAAATGGGAGCAAAAACAAACGTGTTTATAATTTTGTTCAGTGTAGCTGTGCTTCACTGTGCTCTGTTATAGCACGTTTAACCGGCAACCGCCCACAGTTCTGCTCAAAGGCGGTAAAAGTAGAATCATTTATATGGACCTTCATAAGAAAAGTAAGCCTTGGGTGAAGATGCTTGTTTTCTTCTATGGTTTGTTTGCTGTCTAGCTTCACGTAGCTACACGCGGTGAGGACAGTGTGTGTTTGTCAGATAACAGGAGCCGGACCTAAGAGCAAGGCTCGAACTGGAAGGTGAAATCTCTTCTTTTAGCGACGACGTGAACCAAACGAAGTCATAAAACACTGAGAACAAATAGGAATATGGCTAGAGTGAAGTGCTAGAAGACAACATTGAACTGGCAACAGAAAGGAGAACAGAGGGAGGTTAAATACAGGTGAACACATCTGATATGGATCAGGTTAATGAAGGACAAGATGTGGCGCAGAGGAGCCAGAAGGGTGTCGACATAAAACAGGAAACAAAGGACTGGGCTCGTGGCAGGGTGAACGTAGGATGTAGCGGCTGCTTCTCCTGCATTAACCACACCCACACAGAACACACACTCCCCACACAAACGTTCCTCTTACGCACTTCCAGTGACTTCACCAGAGCCTGCTTTTCCTCCTCGATCTCAGTTCGTAGTCCAACAGCTGAGAAGGAAACTAGTGAATTAACGTCCATCCATTTGTCCATATCTGTCTGCTCATTTGGGGTCGCGGGGACAGCAGCCTAAGCAGGGAGGCCCAGACTTCCCTCTCCCCAGAAATGTGCATCACCTCTTCCGGGGACTTCTCAAGATGCTCAAGGTAGCCAGCCGAGAAGCACAGTCTCTCCTGCGTGTCCTGGGTCTTTCTCTAGGTTAGGCATCGTCCCAGTTAGCTGTCCAGGACGCATCCTGACCAGATGCCCAAGCCGTCTCAAATGGCTCCTCTCGATGTGGAGGAGCAGCGGATCTACTCCGAGCCCCTCCCGGATGACTGAGCTTCTCACCCTATCCCTAAGGCAGTGTTTCCCAACCCTCGTCCTCAGGGACCTGCATGTGTTCCATGTTGCCCTTTTCAACACCAGTGTGTCCCTTCTGCCACACACCTGAATTAAAATAATGAGTGATTAACAGGCATCGGCAGCACTTGATGTCCTCCTGATGAGGCAGTGTAAATCAGGCGTGCTGAAGCAGTGACATGGAATTCATGCAGGTCAGTGTGCCCTGAGGACGCGGATTGGGAAACACCGCTCTAGGGGAGAGCCCAGCTACCCTGCGGAGAAAACATTTTGGCAGCTTGTATCCGCTATCTTGTTCGTTTGGTCACTACCCAACGCTCGTGACCAGAGGTGAGGGTAGGAACGTGCTGTAGATCGACTGGTAAATCGAATGCTTCACCTTCTGGCTCAGCTCCCTCTTCACCACGAAAAATCGGTCTGGGACTCTGTCGGTGCCTAGAACACGTAAACGTCAGGATGCAGTCAAACTTCCTTCAACTAAACAAAGACAAGACTGAAGTTACTGTCTCTGGCAACAAGAAGGATAGCATGGATGTTATTGATCAGCTGGACTCTAGAGGAATAAAGACAAAGAAATCTTGGTGTTATTATTTACTCAGACCTGAGCTTCTCTGGACATATGAAGACTAGAACTAGATCAACGTTTTATCATCTTCATCAAACAGCTCTACTCAGGGGTCTCATGTCCAGACAAGACCTAGAAAAACTCTGTGTTTATTTCCAGCAGGCTGGACTACTGCAACGGTCTCCTAACTGGTCTTCCCAAAGAGCTGTGAAGCAGCTGCTGCTTGTTCAGAACGCTGCTGCTGGAGTCTTAACAAGAACCAGGAGAACGGAGCACATCACTCCTGTTCTTAGATCCTACACTGGTTACCAGTAAACTACAGAATAGACTTCAAAGTGCTCCGACTAGTTTATAAACCACTCAGTGGCACGGGACCAAAACACGTGTCTGGTCTCATTCCTGTACATACACCCAACAGGGCTCTGAGATCCCTGGGAACCAATCAGCTGGTAGAACCTCGGGTCCGAACCAAACATGGTGGAGATGCTTTTAGTTACTGTGCTGCTCACATATGGAGTCAGCTCCCCCATGACCTCAGATCTGCCCCAACCCTAGTGTTGTTTAACCCTAAAACCCTCATGTACTCATCAGCCCTTACATGAATGGTGACTCATGCTGCGTCGTCTGTGATCTGTGCTGAAACCCAGTCTTCTCATTTAGCTCTAAACTGTAATTCTGTCTGTGTGTGTTTTAATTTGTGCTTTTATGAGTTTTCATATCATGTCCTGATAATTGTAAAGCACATTGGATTGCCTCTGATTGAAATGTGCTCTAGAAATAAAGCTGCCCTGCCTAATGCCTGCTGCATCACTGCAGACGCAGCACCAAGTCGCCTATCCATCCTCAACTCCGTCTTTCCCTCACTCGTGAACAAGACACTGAGATCCATTTTGAACTACTTTCTTACACAGTTTAGTAAAAATTATTAGTTTACCTGACATGTTTCAGCTAGAAGCTCTAGCCATCTCCGAGATCGCCAGTGAAGGTGGCGTCACTTCCTTTTATCCGCGGGCAGCAGAGGACCGTGCCGCCCTCTACTGCCCGCGTCCTCCTGGCTGATGATCCAGTGTGAATACTCCATCGTCTCTGTGCACGGTCCTGTGTGCACGCCTCCTTATCTCTATTGTTATTTTGATCCATCTTTTATATTTTTGTTGTTCTGTGTTTATGGTCCTTGTGTTGTCCCAGGCCATGGCATGGTTTTCTCGTGTGCAGTGGTCGGTTACGGCTGACTTCCTTGTTGTGCTTTCTGCTTCTTGTTTTGCTGCTCTTGTGTCTTCGAATTGTTTCACTCTGGCACTCCCTTTGATGCTCTATTGTTCGTGTGTTGAGCTGGCGTCCGGTTTCTCCTACGTATGTTTTATTGCAGAGTTTTCATGGGATTTCATGTATGACTCCACATTTTTTATCTGTTGATATCGTATCTTTTGGGCCTACTAATCTTTTTCTGACTGTCATGTCTGGTTTTGTTGGTGTTTATGTCAGGACACCCCACGATACATAACATGTCAGTCATAAGAACATTATACCACAGAGCAAATATAACAACAGAAGAACAGGATCCAAACTGGAGGACCGACACTTACAAAGCTCATTAAAAACCTGCGGAAAGCCAACAAGGGCAATAAGAAAAGGGAAACGACAAACAACAATAGAAAAGAAGAAAAGAACCAGAAACCAAACCAGTAATAACCCTTCCATATACCAAATGGATAACTGAAAAAATAACAACGATGAAAAAACACAACATTAACACACCAACAAAACCATTGTAGTTGCAGCTGAAATACTTGTTGGTCTATCCATCCATTGCTTGGTTTCTGCACATTCCCTTATTTCCCACAATTAGTGGCTGAAGCTGGGATATATTTTTAAATTCATTTTTATATTTGAAGATCAGCTTTACTTTCCCCAGGCTCAGAGTCCAAGATCAAATGTGCAACACTGGATGAAACATGTCAGGAGCCTGGAAACTCACCGGCCTCAGAAAAAAGCAGTATAACAGAAAGTTCTCTTGTTTTCCATGTGGGTCTTCAGGCCAATGATGCCACAGGGAACACATGGAACTGGCTGTACTTCATCCCCCTCATCATCATCGGATCCTTCTTCATGCTCAACCTGGTGCTAGGCGTGCTGTCAGGGTGAGTACATTCGGTGGGTTTCTTATGAGTCTCTGAACAGGTCTGTCTTTGCTTCAGATGAACACAACTTCATCAATATCGTCATTATTCACGGAGTGGTTGAATGAGTTGTTGCTGTGGCTGAGAAAAACAGTTTGTGTCTTTATTAAAACGAAGAACAACAAATACAAGCTGTTGTTTTTGGATCCAGACGGAAGCTTGTCCTGTGACCTGCATTCAGACATGTTTAGAGACGGTTTTCCGGAGCGTGGGCCTCCACAGCGTTTAGAGGAATTTTACTTCCGAGGCACCACCAATAAAAATGTTCTAGATTTTATTAAAACATGGATTCATTTAGTTTCAAGTTCATGTGCAGACTTTGGAAAGCATCTGGTCTGTGGTAGTAAAAGCAAAACAAGTAGCTCATTTATGTGTCATCACCACTGGGAGCAGCATCATGGGAGGTATTTGGGATTTTATTGCGTCTTTACAGTTATTAAGTTTCCACAGCAACACAAAGAGCTCCCTGCTCTCCGTGTAAAACAAACATGTGCATCTGAGTCACTTTTCATCCTTAAAACTCTGAATTTAAGCAGAAGTTTGACAAACAATTATCACAGTGTTGGGTTAAGGATCATGTCTATCTGCTCGACTGTTCTGAGTCAGTGTCATCCTTACGGCAGGTAAAGACTAGACCCTTTTGCGTTGTTGTCTCAGTGGGACAGTCAGCCCTTTCCCTTCACTTTCACATTTTTGTAGCCTCACCTCATCCCTGAAATGTAGGTTATTTCTAGCCTCTTTGTTGCTGCTATGTGTTTTCGGCTGTCACACAGGTCTGCTCATGCCACATGAGAACTCTAGCGAGGTGGCTCATTGTACGGTGCAAGATTTCAGTCAGCCAAACTGCACGACGTCTCACTCTAGCAGCACAAGCTAACATCACGAGTTAGCATCGCGAGTTAGCATCATGAGTTAGCATCTTGAGCTAACATTACGAGCTAGCAGCACGAGTTAGCATCGCGAGTTAGCATCATGAGTTAGCATCACGAGCTAGCATCACTAGCTAACATCACGAGCTAGCATTAAAAGCTAGCACCACGAGCTAACATTACGAGCTAACATCACAAGCTAATATCATGAGCTAACATCACGAGCTAGCATCACGAGCTAGCATCATGAGTTAGCATCATGAGCTAACATTACGAGCTAGCATCACTAGCTAACATCACGAGCTAGCATCACGAGCTAACATTACGAGCTAATATTACGAGCTAATATCACGAGCTAACATCACGAGCTAGCATCACGAGCAAACATTTTGAGCTAACATTACAAGCTAGCAGCACGAGCTAGCATCACGAGCAAACATTTTGAGCTAACATTACGAGCTGACATCACGAGCTGACATCACAAGCTAGCATCACGAGCGCACCCCCTGAAAAGCATCTATCACTAAAACCCGACAGCTAACCAAAACAATGCTGAAAAGAGAAGAAAGTGCCTCTGTTAACTCGTATTATGTACCAAACCCAAACTCTAAAAAGGAGTGGTCCGCTTGTTCCTGCGTGTAGCTTCCTTAACCCTAACTACAACGTAGCTCACACCAAACCTCTAAAACTAACCAGTAGAGCTCTGTAACATAGTACCAAAGTGAGGACCAGCAAAATGTCCTCCCCTTGGTACTAATGTCCTCAGTTTGCAGGTAAACGAGTAAATAAAAACAGCTGACATAAATAAAACACTGTAAAGAAAAATGTTTGCACCGTTTTTTCATGACTGCAACTGGTTAGGTGTGATCTCTCCCATGTGACCTGGTTAAATGTAATGCACCATACGTGTGACTTTTGCAGCAATTCCAACTGAACAAAAGAGTTTTCCTCTAAACTAGTCAGTAACATTTCAGAGGGACGGGGAAGCAGAGTTGGATTGGTGCTTCCACATCCTTCATATTCTCTTTTGTAAGTACCTTTGGATGAAAGCATCGGCCAAATGCTTAAAGCCTTATCTTTTTGCTCAAAGGAGACAAACATTTGCTTTCTGCTTTGCTGAGAGCTCCCGTCTGATCTGAGAACCGAGGTGTTAGAAACTCTCGCACTCTTAACGCCTTTTCCGCAGGTTCCAATGCTGTAGCTACTTGCAGAGGGACTCACCTGTGTGCTTTGATTATGCTAATTATCTGGAGGCCAGAGGGTTTGAAAAACATGCAAAGTCAGCTCATTCTAGTGTTCATCTCATAAGCCTTTTCACAGACATGTTTGCAACTTGTTCAGTGTCAAGTATCTTGTTTTTTAAGTTTAAGCTTCAAACATATGAACACTTAGTAAAATATTTAACTGGGACATTGTATTTTGTCCTTTACTTTTGTGTTTCATTCAGTAAATGTTGGTGAGGAAATGAGCGACAGCAGTCAGAAAGTTGAGCTTTCTTAAAATATTCAATTATT